TATGCTGTATTGCTATGTAGAATATTGTTGCAAGCATACGGTTCCGTAATGGATTGAATGCACAAGTCGATAAAAAGTTAATAAAAATTTATTCTTATCCCAAGAAATAAAACAAAATGCTGAAATTTCCTCAGAGATATTCGTACAAATATCACAATATATCACAGTAGTTATATTTTAAACTACTAAAACGTTAAATAGAACACAATTCAAAGCAGAGAAAGCTAATCCGACTTCACCGCAAATTAGCTACAATCAACACCAAGAACTAAGTAAACAGCTGAATTGAGATGTTTTCCTCCGGCTTTTATAAGTTTTTTAATCATGCACGAGAACATTCCGGTATTTTTTTCCGGTATTCCGGTATTTTGCCATATAACCGTTTGTTAATTTTTTGTGATTTGGTATGTTGATGGGTTATGAAAGGTCCAGTTTTTCAAAGATTTATCTCTTTTGGGGTTTTACTGGTTTGCGCATTTTTTTATGTGTTATTCTTGTTAAATTCTTTACTTTGATAAAAGGGGATAACCTAAACATGTGTTGAAACTACTTTTCGTACAAAAGTAAATTATAAGACTGATAGTACATGGGCGTGGAATAATAAGGTAAAATTAAACAAGATCTGATAATTTTTTAAAAATTTTATAAGCATTATCAGGCACTAGTTTTTAAAATTATTATAACATTACAAGATGATCATTTATTTGATTATATGGTCATTAATTATTAACATTACAAGATGATCATAAGAGGATTTTTTATTTTAATAACTCATAAAATTCGGATCATAGACTTCTGAGTGTAATGAAAAGAAAAAGTAAAAATCTCAAAGCTTTTAGATTTTACATTGCGCCGAAAGGGGCATTTTTTAACGTTTTGTGTGTTGTCTTTATGTATTAAATATTATGTTGTAGAGCATTAGGTAATTTTTTGGAAGCAGGCAAGATGAAAAATTAGCAATCGCCTTCGCCGGGAATCGAACCACGGACCTCTGGAATACCGGCCCAGCGCGCAGAGCCACTACACTACGAAGGCATGAGAAATGCCTTATAATGTTCTTTAGACTTAAGCCACAAAATTCAATTTAATAGAAATTTCGTGAACTATTTAAAAGAAAAAATCTTCATAGCTTTAGAATTTTCGATACACAGTTTCGCGCGTGTTTTTTTTTTTTTTTTGTTGTTGTCCCCGTACAGTGTTACTATTGCTCGCTTTAAAATTGTTGAGTTTCTTAATCAACTACAATTATGAATAATAATTTAAAACAAATCCCAAAATAATGCGCCGTTTATAGTGAATCAACAATGCCAAAACGAATGATACCACTTCGGGCAAATTTCCTGGGAATAAAATAAAATCTGGAAGCATTCAAATTTTCAAGTATTTTTTTTTTAACGTTTTGTATGTTACCTTTAATTACTGAATATCATGTTCTTCGCGCGTAAACCACATAAAATTCAATTTAACAGCAATATCACAAAATATTTGAAAACAGACCATTTTTAGAATTTCCGCGCTGCAAATAAAAATGTTATTTTCTATACAGTGTTGCCATTGTTCGCTTTGAATTCGTTGAGTTTGTTAATCAAAAAGTCGTTAAAGTTTTACAAAATATGAAATGGATTAAAACAAATTCCAAATTTGGGTTCCATATGCCTATATTTGAGTGGAGAACGACATTATTCAAAATTTGATGTCTCTAAGTATCGTTGTTGTTTCACAATGCGAGAAACATACATATATTCATGCCCAATTCTTAATTATTGTATTTTAATTATTTTATTATTTATTTCTTAATATATAAGACAGGGCTCTAATATTTGGTGGCAACAATTTGAAGAGCGAAACGTTGTTTTATAGTGGACGATGCAAAATACCAAAACAAAATTAATAGCCCTTCTGGGCAAATTGCCCCTTAAAAACAGTTGTTTATGAAATAATGAGGTATTTATAAGCAGTTAATATAAATAAAATTTATCAGAAAAGTTCAATATTAACCTTTTTTAATAGAAAGACACAATTTTTTGTTCAGTTACAAAGTTCCACTGTTCCAAGTTCTGAAACTGTTGCATCTGGAAATCCCACCAAACTGTCAATCGAAATCTTTTCATTCTCGAAAACTTCTTTTTTCACCTTTTTCATCGGTAGCGATATTTTCTGGATTTAAAACCATATACGGCAGATTTCACCGTCCGTTATTTGATTGCTGATTAGGATATTGTCATGACAATGGAAAAGCTTCTGTAATGTCCTCTTCCTTTATTATCACTTTTCGCATTTTTTTTAAAAATCGCCTTAACTGGAAGAGTTTTTCTTCTGTAACGTTCAAAAACGACATCAAAATAAGATTACTGTTTTTATAAATTTTGAAATCGCACTTCCTAAAGACCAAATTTCATCAACGTTGCTATTAAAGGCAAGTACCACATAAACTTTGGCTCTGCAAATCTTGCTACAGCTTCAGAATTACAAACTCTTTTCAACATATACGAAAATTCACATTTTAATTTTTATGAGATAGCTGTAATAATAGCCTGCAAAATGTAATAAGCTGAGTCAAATTCGAAAGTTAAGGAAGGGAGCAATTTGTGACCAGTGTTTTTTGGAATTTCATTCTTTATCTCTGGCAGAAAACCATTGATTAGATATCCGACCTAAGGTACAACCGAACGGATTTTTGCCTGATCAAAGGAGAAATCCACTAACCAGCAGCCACCCCAGCCAAGAAGAGGGGCTTTTATTGAGATTGAATCTAAATATAAATATATTGGTCGTGGCAAAATAGTGTAGCGCAGATTTTGGAGCTATACGCTGCGAAGGCACTAGGTTATTATTACATTACCATCATTATTATTGCAAGCATAAAACAAGTTAAGAACAACAAGTGAAAGTACTGATTACAGTGAAACATAGGTTGTAAATACGTGATGTCGTGAGTTATGGAAATTACTCTGGCAACCAAAAAAAACCTGTATAAAAACTCCAAACAAATGTGTTTTGATGATTATTGCTCAAGTCAGGTAGAAAAATGTTCCCATCTTCTCCGCAAACATACAAGGGCAGGAACTATGATTGCTCCTAACATCATTCAGTATTGTAATTCCCTTAGGAAGCGGGAATAAAATGGAAAGATGCTAAACAAATAGCATCTTCTGGTGACCTACCATGTGTCAAAAGTAAATTAGTAATTATTTTAAGATTGCAAAGTTGGACACACCATCTTATTGCCTCAAGTGTTTTTCGCAATGCTATGTTGCTGCTTATTAAATAGCTCCAGGTGTGGCCCACCAGCGGCCGAGCGGTAAAGTAGCTGAACACTGTAGTTCGGTCCGGGGTTCGAATCCCGGCGAATGGGCTGGCTGCATGGGCATTTTTGTGGCTTTCCCCATGTGTAACATGTATACGAGCCATTTTCCCTTAGAAATTTATATAAGAAGGCATCTTTCCTCTTAGACAGATAGTCTTCGAGTGCTTTGTCATAGTTAAATATACCGTACTTATACCTGGTTGCTTCTCAAAATCATGTGCACAGTGCTCTTTGTGGACGCCATATTCTTCAGACCCGGATACCTGCCTCTCTCTGCAGACAGATATACTCCTATGATCGATCAGACCAGTTTTTCAGAAGCGAAAGTTCCTCCTCCTTTTCCTTCTTCAGATTCTCTTAAGAAATTACCCATTGAATTTTCAACAGCACACCGCATTTTTTTTACTTTTTATGTAGTCATTTTCTAGACTCTGTAAAATATTTGTTGGCTGTTTTGAAGTCCGGATTTCGGAGTTTGTATTGTAATTTTGAAATAAAATATTGTTCATTACAACCAAACTCTGATAACATACCACTGTTGGATTAGAAGCGCAGTGACATCCAAAATGAAGTTAAAAATATTTAAAATGATCTTTTAAAATTCCAGATGCTTATGATTGCCTCTAACTGAAAACTGAAAAGTATTTTAAATTTAAGCTTATCAGTTAAAAAGTTTGCAATCTGTTCTTTGTAATTAAATTCCAGTTTATTCTGAAACAGTTTTAAGTTAGCAAGGTAGAATAATGCAAGTTTTAATCACTACAAATTTAAGATAGAGATAAAATCATATACAGTCGATTCCGGTTAATTGGACCACATCGGGAAGAGATCGTTTTGGTCCTAATAACCGGCTGGTCCGATTACACGAACATGTCCTATGTTGCAAGACGGGACGTGCTATATGTAGCAAACATTAAATGTACATGTAAATCGTGTACTAAAATGTAATTATGAACTTTATTGTGCGGTACACACGTCTGGCGAATATACATGTACAAACAAGAACTACAGTCGAACTTTTTTCATTGAGAAAATTAATTTAGAAACAAGTTCTAAGCCACGATCTCCACGAACTCAGCATGCGAAGCACAATAAAATCAAGTTCTTAAAAAGTTCCAGTCAATATTTGAAGAACTTATCCAATGTGATCTCACTCGTTCTCTTGACGAACTGCACGTGAATGAACGAAATCGCCACAAACATCTAACGCAGCAATGGAACTGCCTTCATTTCCCTCCTACATGAAATACCAACGCAAAGTTTCAATGCATTTCTTCGCAGCCTGCGTTGTCCAACTTATTAGCGGCATCATCATCATTACTTTCTTGGTCTTCCGATGCTGTCGTGTGTTTTGCTGCATCAAGCAATCTAAATGAGGATGTGTTTCACAATTGTCAAGAAGAAGCATCACTTTTCTCGACTGGCGTTGTAGCTCTCCGTCCAAATCCTTCAGCCATTATTTAAAAAGTTTAGAGGTCATCTACGCATTTCTGTTCACTCGATACACAACTGGTAAACTGTCCATCCTAAGTCCTTTAAAGCAGCAGGGCTTAGTGCTTTTTCCTATAACCAACAGCTTCCTTTTGTCCGTTCCTGACATGTTTGAGCACAAAACAGTTACGCGATCCATCGCTTTTTTGGAGCCAGAGAGTTCACAATGTTTGTAACTTAACGAGCCGTTCGGTGTAGCACGCTAATACAGCCCCGTCTCATCAGCATTGTAGATGTCATCTACTGAAAAATTTTCAAGAAGCTCGGGCAGTTTTGTCGATTTCCATTCTTCAGCATTTGCACTATCAGCACTTTCTTTCTCACCATGTGCTTTCTTGAATTTTATGTCATGTCTAGATTTCCATCGAGACAACCAACCGTCCGTAGCTTTAAAGTCATCATGGTCCAGCGTTTTAGCGAGTTTTGCTTTGCGTTTTAACATTGGGCCGCTTACTCGCACAGATCGTTCAGTAACAATGGCAAACCATTCATTAAGGGCCTCATCGACATCTGGGTCCTTGCCTTCCCCCACGCTTCCGTTTTTGGAAGTTTCTCCTCGTTCTTCACATTGAACCCATTCTTCTCGCAGCTCATCCTTTTGTTTTATCAAGCGCGAAATTGTAGTCTTTGCCAATCCGGTTATTTCCACCAACCGACGCTGACTAGTGTTTCGTGATTGTTGCTTGATCTTATCCAGGAAACCAATTTTTTCAGTTAACATCAAGTCCCGTCGTGGCATTTTGGTAGGGGAGACAAGAAACGTGCACAGTTCACTGACTAAAGTGGTCTGAAGAAACTTTGGTGTTTCGGGTTCAAGATGCTGTGGCCAAGAGGGAGATAAAATGCTCGCCATTCAAAGCTTTGGCACTAAAATCATCCCAAAAAGGTGATGAAATGAAAGCTTTCTCGCGTAAACTTTAATCATGATTGACAAACGAGAATTCCTTTCAGGTGGAGCCGGACACTCTGTTGTTCATTTCCTCGAAACTCGGAGGCGCGTATCAAAGAAAATGGTGCTCGTGTTCACCTCCCACCGGTTTTGCTTTTGTCATGCACTTTAAGGAATTCCAGACCTTTGTTAAAGCATTTTTGTGGGGAGCTGCAATTACAGATCCTCCCATATGTCGCAGACCACCTGTATATCTGCTGTACGCGACCGACCTGTGGCTTCTGTTTCTTATTCGCTCTCACGTTTTTTGGTCCGATTAAATGGAATTTTGGTCCAAATAAGCGAATAATATTAGGCTTATATACATAGGATTTGTGTTTCGGTTCTTTAGGATTTGGTCCGAAAAAGCGGCTGGTCCGATTATCCAGTCGCCCAATTAACCGGATTCGACTGTATTTAAAATGAAGCGTTAAAAATAAAAGCACGAAATGATAGGGAGAGAAAGATGTTATACGTATTTTGTCACAATTAATATCAACTGCTTCCCTTTATGCCAGTTTGAACAAAACAATATTGTGTGCTACAATAATAATATTGTTGCCTGTGTACGGGTTCTTAATAGATTGAATGCACACAGAGTTGATGATAGCTTAATAACATTTATTTTACCAAAAGAAACATTTCTCAGTTCTGGAACTTTCCACAAAAGTATCACACAGTATCACAGAGCACAATCAGTAGCTAAACTTCAAAGCTACTAAGAACGTTAAACAAAACGCTATGCAATGGGTATCTAAAGAGTGAATCTCACTCAGAGATGTCACAATACTCCGAACTAAACAACTGAGAGCAGATGCTCTCTTCCGACTTAGATAGTCTTCACCCGGCCGCCAAGAAATCTCTAGTAAATTATATTTCTCAAAATTACTGGAAGGTATATTCGGTTAAAGTTACATCTAAGGGCCGGGTACGATTACAGTAGCATAGTGGTTTAATTACGGCTATACAGTTGCAATACCCATTACCGGGGATCAACCGTAGTACCCTATACAAGGACCGCACCAAAATATCGCTAAATGGTCCCCATATATCCACTTTTTGGAGATTTCCCGTCAAATTTTCGCGACAAATATTAATTGCCAAAAACCATCGCCAACTTGGCGATATCCCGCCAATTTAGCGAGATAGTTATTTACTCAAAAACAGACTGCGACGCATGCGCAGAAAGTTTGTAGCTTTGAGGTGCGGATTATAGATCATTCCGGATTATGGGTGTCCGAATTAACGACTTTTGACTGTATTATAATGTAATGCATAACTCTTTAATACTGCAATTTATATAGCGAGACACAGTATTAAAATACATTCGAAATTATAAACAATACAATGATACAACATGTTGATATCCTTAGATAAGAATATGGTATGAGGGTGGGGAGTTACCAGGTGTGTGTGTGCGTAAGATAAAAATATATGAAAGCAAACCTCAAGGCTCTAATTTTAATTGGCAATAGCCCTTTTTATCCCTTATTATAATTTGGATATTTCGTCTTTCCATCCTTTGCATGATGATGATGTAGCTAATTTTGAAACTTAAAATTTCAAAACCAAAAACTTTCTCCTATTAAACTAAGCCTCCATATTGGATACCTGCACTTTTCTGCTTGCTTCACTCTTGTTAACACATGCAATATAGTATATGTCCTATGATTTAAAATTGTGCACAGTAGCAATGCAAATGCCTAGAAGCAAAATCTATGAGTTACATCAGCATTAAAGTATTGCGAGTTACAGTGTTATAAGATACTAGCTACTAAGGTAAACATTTATTTATAACAGCAATACATTTTTCATTTGGACTTTTTAAGAATGCCAAAACAAATCTATTATTGGTGCCTTTGATGCAAGGTCGCACAAAAATAAATTTGATTTAGCAAATTGAAAAAATGATTTATCTCTGCAAAATCAATGTTAGAAATGCATAAAGGCATTTTATCAGCATGTTTTTGCTTACGTTTGAGAACATTTAAAAAAAAAAAAATTGTTTAGTTTGCGAATAAAAATTACTAACCATTTAATCTAATCAGAACAGTCACTGCTAATAGAAATGTATACTCACCTCAAATAGCCATATTGCACTTTACAGAAATATCTGATTGTAAGGAGAAGGGGAACTTACAAATATGTCAATTAAAGCAATAAGTAAGTAGTGTTGACATAACATATTTGTTTTCAAGCATAAGATATATAAGTTGTTGGTATACCTAGCTAGATATATACCAACATATGCAAATGATACAGATACACCAAAAAATATATAAAAAAAGTGTCCATCTTTATAGCTTGCAGGATTCATGGCATAATTTTTATTTAATAACTGCAAAATCAAAATACATAGCAAATTCATAATACATATGCATTTTCGAATTTTATTTTTGAGGCATAAATTCAAAATTAACCATTATCTATTCACAGAAAATAACAAATCAGTACACAGAATATTCTTTTTAGTCAATTATATTTGAAAGAAAAATTGCATATATTGTCAAATCAATTAAATGTTAATACCATGGGATTTGTGTCCCTTTATTATATGAATACATAATGCCTTTATATGTACAGTCTAATCGATTCATTAATGAAAACAGACAGTTAAATGTTTGCGCCTATACCTACAATGACTATTCTGTTTGTGCACCCATATCTTGTCATTTATGGCACTGAAACCAATTAAAGCTAAGCAAGCATGTGGCGTTCCGACAGATACTTCAACTTCTATTCATGAGATGGCGCCACGTGTAAAATCCAGTTCTTAATCGGAGCAGCAAAGCGACGTCATTACTCACTCAGACTTCTCGTAAAACAACTGTACGCGACGGTAGCATGAACTGTGTTCCGAGCTCTGCGTTGATCTCTGCAATGTAATTTAAATTGTAATTTAGTACTTAATATATTCTTTTGTTATAGGAGACTGTCTACTCTTATTTTCTTTAATTATATCATGCATTAAGCACACACGACCACCAAAAGCAGGTTCAAAAGCAAGTAAAGCTTTTTAACCAGCTGTAAAGGCATCACTATTTGATTAGGCAAATATTTTTCCTGTTACCCAAATACTGGATATCAAATGTGGAATTTGCAAATTTGCTTAGTACTTTCTGATTACCGTATTTGACGGCATATAAGACGCACCCTTATTTAGAAGGCCACACACAAGGGAAAAAGAGTTTCAATAGTCCGCACGAGAGCGCGGTACTGCAATAATTTAAAATGTGGTTTCTTTTAGTTCTCACGTTTCGTAAAAGCCAAATAAACAGTCATTGAATGCAATTACCAAACATATTTTTATTAAGGAAAATTAACAAACGGCAAGCTATTTTTTTTTTGGTAGGTGGTGGACCAAAATCCCTTGCTGCTGCTCTGTTTCCATGCACTTTGGCAAAGTTTAACACTCCTAGTTTATACTGAATTGTATAGCTTAATCTTTTGTTTCCTGTAGTCATATTTTCCAGGGTATTTTTTAAAACAAACAGTTTTAAGCACCTATACCAACACATTTATACAGAGTAGCACTGATACTGACACGTGTGTCGGCTAAGTCAAAGAAAGTCTATGTTAAAGAAGGAGAAGCTCCATAGACGTAATGTGACCATCTAACCTGTTTGAACTTTGATATCAGCTTCGAGCTTTGGCGACAGATATTTCACGCATGCGCAAAATAATTATGGCAGATGTAGAAAAAGTTATGCATGTCTAGACCTTTATCCAGGATAAAAATAGCATTCAGTATTTAAAGTTAACCTGTGTCCTTCACGTATAAGATGCAGATAACTTTTTTGAGACCAAATTTAGGAAAAAAAGTGCGTCTTATATGCCGTCAAATACGGTATCTACAACCCCAGGTTTCGATATTCAGCAGAATTACTCTGCTCTCCTGCATTTTTAGCATAAATACTATAACAGCCAACAGAAGCTTGAAGTATATTATAAAGGCATTTTTATCCATTTACGATTGAATTAACGATTTCAGAAGCGATTCAATTTGGGTGTTCCATGTAGTGGAACACCGAGCAGGGTTGACACAAAATTGAGACTTAAAAAAAAATCTAGAGTGAAATCCTAAATTTTGAGAGCCAGTGTATATATTTCATACCGGCATCCCTCCAAGACATTTTTTTTCCAGGTAGATGCCAATTGTTAATTTTTGTTTTAAAAATTAATTTTGCGTACCTTTTGGAGTGCATCTGTAGAGATGGATGCTTGAATATAGTTATGTAAGTCTGAAGACAAACACTTTTAAAATTTTGGTAGAAATTAAAAATTTTAAAAATAAAATTTAGGTTTTTATGCACTTTGATGATGCAAGCCGGCTGAACATACTTATGTAAAATATGTGTAATAGCTTTTGAACTTGATTTAACTTTAAAATTATTATTTTATAAAAAAAAATATCAATTATAACACTGCATGCATAAATCGTATCATGCTGTAACTGAACTAGGATAATATTACAAAAAGATATAACAGGCGAAAAATAAAAAAATTGAAAAATGAAACACTACGACTCAGATGAGAATGTATGTTGCATTTTTGCAGTCGTAGTTTACACTTTAGATACCATGGTTCATGCTATGATACCAAGAATCGGTACCCCCCACACACACTTTAGATAATCGAGGACCGTAAGGGCCACTTTTTTATTTTTTGTAGATATAGGTTGTAATACATCTTTTTGCTCAGGAAGAAACGCCGTTAAACAACTTTATTATTTTATACACGTCAAAGCTCTTATTTTGATTTTCAACCCCTTTGGCCTCCTAGGGGTTGCTTTTCAACTTTTGGATAAATTGCAGTTTGCATCTAAAATGGGCCTTAGAAATATTTTCCCTCACTTCACCAACTATGAATTTATATCAAAAACAACCTATTTGTAACCTAACCCTAAATTTCTCTTGTGTTCCTTA